AGGAGGCAAAAGACATTTGTAGAGGTATAAATATAGGTATGAATATATATAAATATATTAATATATAAGGATAGGGATATAGGTCTACATATATTTATACATGTTAAGTATCAAGGTAGCAGATGGACATTGGGCCTCTACTCATTTCCTTACTCAACACAAGAACACTTTGTTCTAATAACCTGGCATTCCATGATGCTCACCTTCCCGACACAATTGCTGAAGACAAAATGGGTGCATAAGCTAATGTGGTGAAGAAAGCTGATGGTGCCTGGCTATTTTAAGAGATAGCATCTGGGATCTTAAAGGCTTGAAGGTAAACAAGCGGCCATCTAGCAGGGAAGCAACAAAGCCCACGTGGAAGAAGCACACCAGCCTGTGTGATCATGTGGTGTCGATGGGATCAGGTATCGGAAGACTCAAAACAAACAATCATATTGATTCAAATGAAAGGGGTCAGAATGGAGACCAAAGACAACTGGATGTCCCCTCACAGAAGGGTCACAAGGAAGGGACGTGCCAGCCAGGGTGCAGTAGAGCATCAACGAAACACATAACATTCCTACATTCTTGAATGCTTCCTCCCCACCACTATCACGACCCCAGTTCTACCTTACAAATCTGGCTAGACCAGAGCAGGTACACTGGTACAGATCTGAGTTCTCGATACATGAAACCCAGGACACATAACCCCTCAGGAACAATAATGAGAGTAGCGATACCATGAGTGTAGGGGGAAGGTGGGTGGAGAAGGGAGAGAAAGAGGGAATCGATTACAATGATCAACATATAACTGTCCCTACTCCCTGCCCCCACGGTGACGAACAGCAGAAACGTGGTAAAGGGAGATAGCAGATCGTATAAGATATGATAATAATAATTTGTAATAATTTATCAAGAGTTCATGAGGGTGGGAGAGAGGGTAAAGGGGGGAGCTGATACCAAGGGCTCAAGTAGAAAGAAAATGTTTTGAAAATGATGATGGCAACATATGTTCAAATATGCTTGATACAATTGATGTATGAAATGTTATAAGAGCTGTAAGCGCCCCTAATAAAATGATTTATTATAAATAAAAAGATTTATAGCTTCAGAAACTCTTAACTAAGGTTATTATGGGTTAGAATCAACTTGATAACAGTGAGCTGGCCTTTTCGTGGGGACTTGGTCAGGTCAGAGCTCTGGCGGCACTGTGGGTTAGGCATGTGCTGCTAACCACAGGGTCAGCGGTTCAAACCCATCAAATGCTTCTCAGGAGAAAGATAAGGCTATTGGAATCAATAAAGCTTTAAAGTTACAGTAGGAAGATTAAAAAAACAAAAAACTTTACAGTCTCAGAAACCCAAAGGAGCAGTTAGTTCCCCTCTGTCCTATCAGAATACTGTGAGGTGGAACCCACTTGACGACAGTGGGGGCTTGGTTTTTTATTTGGGCCACACTTAGAAGGAGCCCTGGTGGTGCAGTGGTTAAAATGCTTGATGACAGGCCCAAAGGTGAGCCACTCGAGCCCACCAGCCTCTGTGGGAGAACGTGGGTGCAGATCACAGCCTTGGCCACCCTGGGGGTCAGTGCTGCTCTGCCCCGTAGAGGCCCTACCAGAAGCCACCGAGGGGCAGAGGGTTTGGTCACACACCTTCTGAGCAAGGGCTCACGGCGCACAGCGCACAGCGCAGTGTGACCACCTAGTATGTCGCAGCCACCCTTCCATTTAGTCATCAATGGACGTTCTGCGTCTGCTCTGTAGCAGGTGCTGCTTAGGTAAGGTGACCAGATGTCTTGCTTTTGGCGGGACAGTCCCGATTTTTAACAATTGTTCCCATGTCCTGCGACATTTTTTAAAAGTCCCAATTTTTGGAAAGGATGCACGACAAGCTAGGGTATACGGTTTTTGGCTGCCATGTGGCTGTTTCGCCAGGATATGAGTGTTATCAATGGTGTCCTGCTTTTGTCCCGCTTTACCAATGTTAATATCTGGTCACCTGATGCTTAGGAGCTTGGGATGTTGTTAGTGAACAAAACAAAGACGCCTGCCCCACCAAAGGTGGGGTGGGGCTTCTCCCACATACTCCCTGCAGGCCTTTACCTGTCCCGAGTCACCCCAGAAACTTGTCTTCTCCTCCTAACAAGTTGTGCTTGAGGGCTGTCTTACTTACCGCATGCTGCTGCGACCAAGATGCCACAGGTGGGTGGCTTCAACCAACAGAGTTTTCTTTCCTCCCAGTTGATGGTGCGGACTCTAAGGGAGGACTCTCGCTCTCACTCGCCCACGCTCTCCGTGAAGGCCCTTCCTTACATCTTCTCAGCTTCTGTTCCAGGTTCCTTGGCCCTCATGTGGCTTCTACCTGTTCCTCCTTTCATGCCTGCTAGCCTAATCTGCTCTTGTGCACCTCAAAGGAAATGACTGTCAAGCACCACCCTGCATGAATTCTGCCTCATTAGCAGAATGAATCTGTGGAACGGTCACCGGAGCGACAGGGGTTAGGATTCCAGGCACACCTTTTCAGGAGGACATGGTTCGGAAAAGGAGGACACCTTTTCAGGAGGACATTACAAGGGGTGCTCTCTCCCTTCCACGCGTTGTAGCTCCTCCTCAAGAAAAGATGAGGCTTATCTGCTCCTATAAAGATTGATCGTCTAGGAAAACCACAGGGGCTTCTCAACTCTGTCCTTTGGGGTCACTTTGAGTTGGAATTGGTAAAAGATCATTATATTGGGGAGGGGGCTGGAATGCACAGGTGGTCTTTGATTTGCATAGAGTGGAAGACAATGTTGAACAGAATACAGACTCATAAAAGAAGCCAAGCTTCTTGGTCAGATAGACACTGTGGCCGTTAGTCACCGGACAGGTCTGGAAGTAAACGCCCCACTGTGTTCGAATAATTAACCTGTGTTAGAATAATAGATTAAAGATAAAAAAAGCAGCATTTACCCAAGGACAGAGGGTAGGGAGAGAGGAAGGAATGGAAGCGGGAAACACCGGAGGACATAGGATAAGCAATTTATATTTTACATTATACATTTATTATAGGCAACAATTTAGACACATGCTTCAACTCTGACACCAAATGGGTATATGTTGTTGAATGTAAAACTGATGATCTTCTCGTAACCCTTCATCCAAGTCACAAGAAAAAGCTGAAAGAGAGAGCGGGAGAGACTCTGGCAAACGTTAGTCGTAACAATGTCGCGCTTGAAGCCCTGCCAAGAGTGTAACGTGCTCAGTACAGCTCCTGGCACGGGGCAAGCGAGCCCCGTGAACTTTCCACCTGAAGGTAGTCCCCTCTGGGGAGCAGGCTCCTCTCTCTCTCGTTCACTGGTGTTTCCCACCAACAGGAATGGTACTAGGGATGTAGTTGGAACTCTGAACATTGGGTAAAAGTATGAATTGCCGATTCCATCTCAGACTGATTGAGCCTCAGTCTACCTGTGGTAAGTGGTCAGGAGGAGGTGGACAGGAGCTGATCTGAGGTGCAAGGGAAACTCTCAGAGGCCCACACCATAGACGGGTAGATGCCTGGGATCCCTGAGTCAAACTCTGGACTTGTACTGAAGAAGGTGTTCATTCACACCAGGCTCCAGAGCAAACTGTTCATTCCAGGAAGATGTTTGAGCCTTTTTAACTCATCATTCTTGCAATAGCACTGAATGGGAAAAGATTGACATTGTCAAGGATTTTATTTTACTTGGATGACAGTCAACACCCTTAGGAGCTGCCATCAGGAAAGTTGACTGAATTAATTCATTGGGCACATCCGCTGCACAAGTTCTCTCTAAAATGTTAGAGGGCAAAGCTGTCACTTGGGTGGTCAAGGTGGGCCTGACTCAAGCCATGGTCTCTTGTATTGCTTTACATGCCCGTGAAAGTTGGGCAGTGAATAATGAAGACCACAAAAAATTAGACCTTTGAAGTACGAGATGGCCAAGAATACTGAGTAGACCCTGGACGGCCAGAAGAATGAACCAGATCTGTGTCACAAGAAGTCCAGGCAGAATCCTCCTGAGAAGTGAGGGTGATGAAACATTGTCTCACATACTTTGGGCATCCTCTCTACAGAGATCAGTATCCGGAGAATGGCATCATGCTTGGTAAAGTGTAGAGTCAGAAATTTTTTTAAAAAGAGGAAGTTCCCCCTATGAGCTGGCTTGACACCGTGGCTGCAGCCAGGGGCCCCAATACAGCCGTCATTGTGAGGATGGCCCAGGAGGGGGTAGTGTGATAGGCTTGATGGCGCCCAATAATTGGGATGCCATAGCCAAGACAATGACATCTTCCTCACAGGAGGAGAATATGCTCAGCACAGAGCTATAGGAGGAGTCCCTGAGTGATGCAAGCAATGAACATAGTCTGCGGCAGCTAACTGAAAAGTGGGAGGTTCAAGTCCACCTAGAGATGCCTCAAAAGAAAGGTCTTCTTTCAAAAAACAAACCACTGTCCAAAAATCAACCTATAGAACACAGTTCTGCTGCCACACATTGGGTCACCTTGAGTCAGGGTCAGCAACAGGTACGTAGAGCAGGGACCAGGCGGGTGGACAGGGTCACATGGCTCTATCAGTCCATCATATTTCAGTAACTATAAAAGGTCACCCCGGCTGTTCTTTGCAGTTGGTGGTTGAAACCCACTAGCCACTCTGAAGTGGAAAAGGCTGGACACTGGACTTCCTTGATGGCCCAGCAATGCAACTCTGTCAGCTGGGCCTCGGGGGCAGTGTGCTTCGTTTTTTGATATGTTTACTTGATGACTGTGATTAGAAAACATATTAAAAACAGTCAAACCAGGACAAACCAGAAAATATATACAAAACAGTCAAACCAGGTCCTGACTGCAGTTCCAGGTGGAACGTTACAAATTCCAAAGAGACTCTTGGGGAGGAGGAACGCGGCAGGGAGGAGGTGGGGGAGAAGCCTGACATTGATAACGCGATTCCCTTATGTTCATGACAAGGGTTTGAAGAGATTGTCCACTAAGCTGATTTCCCCTGGCGATTCTCCCTCTTCAGGTGACCTTGTACAAGGACTCTGACATGGAGGACTTTGGGTTCAGCGTGGCGGATGGCTTGCTGGAGAAAGGTGTGTATGTCAAAAATATTCGCCTCGCCGGACCAGGAGATCTTGGTGGCTTAAAGCCCTATGACAGGCTCTTACAGGTAAGACCTCAGGTGGGGTTTTAATCCCTTTCGGGTCATCCTGGACTTTAGGGAGCCTCTTTCCCTCTTTCCCTGGGAAATGCACAGCAGTGAAATAGCTGAATGAAGAAATGCCTGGCCAGTCCATTTGATCTCAGCCTAGTACAGTTGCTGGTTCCTTATCCTTATGAATTGAGTTTTATGACACCGAGCTCAGAGCCATCTTGCCCAGTCTAACGCTTACTCCTAAAACCCCACCCAGCCACGGGGCCATTGCCTACCAGCCTATGGTCATGGTCGGAGTAGTACGCATTACCTCTCCCACTGCTCCGCCTCACCTGGCACCACTCCCGTTGGCAAGCTGCTTCCCTTGCTGGTCTGCCCTCAGGCTACCTCCTCCATCCACAGCTGCAGCTCTCACAGCACAGAAGGGGCCCCTAAGCTAGATTTAAGCCCAAGAGGAATGGGTAGGCATCGGTCAGAGCTCCTAGCGGGTGAACCCCTCGCTGTTCTACAGTGTTGTCAGACCAGAGTTAGGCTTCTGAATGGGGTGCAACCTGTTACCCCTGAAGTGTCACTGTAGCTCCTGTGACTTCCTTCACGGTGCCAGTCATCCAGAAGGGCTCTTCTCGACCTTACAGGTTAACCATGTCCGCACCAGAGACTTTGACTGCTGCCTCGTGGTGCCCCTGATAGCGGAATCCGGCAATAAGCTCGACCTGGTCATCAGCAGAAACCCACTGGCTCCCCAGAAGTCGATGGAGCCCGGGGCAGAATGGAGCGAGCCGCACAGGGCGTACTTCCAGCAGTCCCCCCACAGCGGTCCTTTGGAGACGCGGGAACCCACTAACACATTATAGCAACGCCTTCGTCAAACCGGACGAAAGACGGTACACACATGGTGCTAAAACTCCCTTCAAGATGTCTGTGACCGGCAAGCACAGATCATCACGTGGCATTAACTGCAAGCACAGGGGTCTTTTAAATCTCTCTCACGACTCACGCCCACCTCCCGATCCCGGTGGAAGAGATTCCTTGTTTTCTTTTTCTTTTCTTTCCTTTCGGTGAACCTTCATGGTGTATGGTAGCGAAGAGGAAAAATAAGTAGGCTGCCCCTCCCCACCAAAGAACATCCGAGGACATTTGGTACAAGTTCATCTGCCTGTCACTTTTTTAAAAGATTAATGCCCACTTGAAAAGTCTTCTCTGCAGTAATTTCCTTTAATTCACTTTGCAATCAGTTTCTTACTCTGAAGTCTTTAACATAAGAACTTGACCAACAAGGCTTTTCCTAACAAAGTTGGCTCACCTAGGGGACTAGTAATGTTTTGTAAGCTGCGGGGACTGCTGCCGATGGGAGGGGACCGGGATACAATTCAGTTCGCTTCAAATGTTTCAGCCACGATGCACGCAAGAGACCATTCTAGGTGGTGGGGAAATGTTTTGCCCAAGTATAGGAATGATTTTAACTAAGATGTATGCTATTCCCTATGCAACAAGGTATCAAACAGGATATGTCTTGTGACCTGTTTTATTTTTGTTTTTGTTTCTCCTTTTTTTTTTTAAGGACATATTTTTAATAGCGGGGGAGGGGGAAAATCGCTGGTAATGAATAGTATGTTTAGTAGCACTGAAAATTAGTGATCTTAATTTTTAAAATTCCACACTAAGGACTTAAGAGTGAATGAAGAGTCTATTAAAATAAGGTTCATCTTAATGATAGGTTAATCAAACTGCTCGACATGTTTTGAAAACTGGTAACATTGAGGGGCTGTACAGCACATGTACTTTAAAAAATGACACTGGACTAGCTTTTGTCTGAGCCATGTCACTTAATGAAATTGTAAATACATTCTTCACAAAATGCATTGCCAATTATTACCATCCTTCAAAGCAATAAAGTGTGACAGTTGCTTTCTATGTTTGTCAGCAACTGTTTTCCTCTGTCCAGATATTTTGAAGAGTTATACTGATAACTGTTATTTGGTGAATATTAAAAAAAATAGATCTGTATATTGACTGTAGGAACTCCAGTTTCCAAACATCTTCATGTGGGGCCAATAATTCCAACTACCACTTCGGTGAAAACATCCAAACATCGTGTCCTCTGTTTAAGGGAAATGTCACCTTTCTGTTTGTGCAGAGAAAGATATTATTTTCATCACATTTCAAAACTGCCAGGGCAAGAAAGTATACAGCTGATCACGTTATGTTTAAAAAAAAAAAAAGATCATGAGTCACTTAAATATGTATTTTTATTTGTAACAAACAAGTATTAAACTGTAAAGTATTTTTGTACAAATTTAATACTTTAATAGCATGATATTTATCGTCTATGTATGTTTTGGGGAATTCAAAATTGTTGCAGATATTTGTATGGAAAAATAAAACCAGAACAACCCTCTACCAAATGGAATAAACAGTGATTTTAAAGAGCAAAGCATGTCTGCCTTCAGTTTTGGTGCCGGACTCCAGCCCAGAGCCCTGGGCTGAGCTCTCCACGTGCTCTTGGTCATTTCTCATGGGCGGTTTTGCCACAAGCTGGAGCAGTGCGTAGCACGCAAGACAGGCTGGATCCCAACTCTGGGCCTCTGGTGACGTGGGGCTCACTCACCCCACCTGTGATACTGAAAGTCCGTCTGCACGATGTAGGATGTTGGCAGGGGCGGGGTGCGGGAGGGTGAGCTCTGCACAGAGGTGCCCCAAACCGCGGGAACACAAACACTTCCATTCATGGTGGGTGGCAAAAATGGAGACATCTTCATTCAAAGAATCACAAGATCTGTTCCCAGAGAACATTATATATAGCCTATAAAATACATTTCCATAAACAAAACCTATGAACTTGAATGAGGTTAAACTTATGCACACCCACACCATACATATAGTCCCAAGACGCTCATTTCTGCATTATGGCCCCACAAGCCTTGTAAATGCACATTCATTACTATGTATTCACATTCTCTGTACCTAGGTTGGCATTCTTCCATCAACCAAACTCACCACCATCGAGTTGATTCTGACTCATAGCAACCCTGTAGGACAGTAAAACTGCCTGTGGGTTGCCAAGACTGTAAATCTTCACAGGAGTAGAAAGCCTTCTCCCATGGAGTGGTGGGAGGTTCAAACTTCTGAGCTTGCAATTAGCAGCCCAATGCACAACCACTCTACCACCAAACCCAAACCAAATTCAGTGGCATCAAGATGATGCTTGATGTACAGTGGCCTGGTACAGGAGGGTGTTTTCTGGTGCATGCGTGATCCTGGGAGAGTCACATGACCCTTACCAAAAATCAAATTATCACAAAATCTAAGGGATAGTTCAAATGGTCATTGGATGCTATTGTGTTCTAAAATCCATGCTACTGAGCTGATTCTAGCCCTCTGTGGCAGAAGAACTGCCCATGGGATTTTCAAGGCTCTCACCTCTCACCGGAAGCAGACTCTCCCCATCTTCCTTCCACAGAAGCCGGGGGGTTCAACTCACTGACATTCTAGTCAGCAGCCCAGTGCTCAGCCGCTGCACACCAGGACCCCTTACAGAGCACAACACCCCTCGAGGGTTTCCTAAGGCTGTAATCTTTACAGAATCAGATTTAAACTGGTGTGGTGGTTGCACACTGGGCTTTGAGCTGCATGGTCAGCAGTTTGAACCCACCAGCAGTTCCGGGGGAGAAAGAATGGGCTTTCAATTCCCATAAACCGTCTCAGAAACCCACAGGGGTTCACTATGAGTGAGGGCCGACTCGATGGCAGTGAGTTTGGTTTGGTTTGGATCTTTCAGTTAGTATGCGTTTGCATAACAACTGAGGCGGAAGCCTGTGAACGTCAATTTAGTAAGAAACTGGCATGAAAAGGCAGGCGAGAAGCTGTAGCTCGTGTGAACGGCTCAGATAGTTCAGGTGTGTCCCAAATAAAAAAGAATCAACGGTAGAAATGACTATTTTAAAACAATCCAGCAAAAGCAAACAGGAACGACTTCTGGTAGTGCTGTTTAAATGCAGTGACCCGGTCAAAGGGAAGGAGCCCTGGGTTGCTAACCATGGGGTCAGCAGCTTGAAACCACCAGCTGCTCTGTGGGGGGAAGAGGAGGCTTTCGACTCACATGAAGAGTTAGTCGCTGAAACCCACAGGGACAGCCCTACTCCATCCAATGGGGCCACCATGCATCAGAATTGGCTCAATGGCAGTGAGTTTCGCCTGGCTTTAAGTCAAAGGAAGAGACTGCCTTTATGGGCCGGTCAGGCCACAGGATGAAGCACCCATGCTTCTGGAAGGGGCCCTGGTCAACCATGAACTGAAGGTATCTCGTGCTACCCCACTAGCAAACTAGTGATAAATGCCTGGTGGAGAAGAGACACAGTGTGTTTATATTTACTCAATCACAACCAGAGCCACAGCTGCACCTTTTAAAGAGATATATCACAGCTACTTCTAAAGACAAGTGGTGGACGATGGAACCTGTTCTCAGCTTAGCCCTTCACGATTGGAAGCATTGGGTCCACACGTAGTCAAGTAGGAGGCAGGATGCCATGGCCCCTGCAAGTTTAGCATACTGTGATTAAAATGATTTGCTTTAAATCCCAACCGTGGGTGCCTAGACGTGTCCTCATGAATGAAATCCCAAGGAACTTTGGAGTGGGTAAGTTATTTATATTTTGACCAATAGCATATGCATACGGGCGAATGCTTTGCTTGGGACCACTCTGACACATGGTATTCATTTCACTGTTTGAAGGGCAAGGACTGTTTCCAAGTTCTCCACAAAAACTAAAGTTACGGGAACCAATTACAGGGATCTGCATATGGCCTCCTCCCTGGGGGCGGACAACAGAGAAGTGGGTGAGGGCAGACATCGGACGGTGTAAGATATGGCAAAATAATAATTCATAAATTATCAAGGGTTCGTGAGGGAAGGGCGAGCGGGAGGGAGGGGAGAAAATGAGGACCTGATGCCGGGGGCTTACGTGGAGAGCAAATGTTTTGAGAATGATGAGGGCAAGAATGTACAAATGTGCTTTATACAGTTGATGTATGTATGGATTGTGATAGGAGCTGTATGAGCCCCCGATAAAATGATTTTTAAAAAGCAAACTAAACTGCCATTGAGTTGATGCTGACTCATAGTGTAAAGTGACCAGATGTTAACATTGGTAAAGCGGGACAAAAGCGGGACACCATTGATAAAACTCATATCCTGGCGAAATAGCCACATGGCAGCCGAAAACCATATACCCTAGCTTGTCGTTCATTCCTTCCAAAGATTGAGACTTTTTTAAAATGCTGCGGGACGCAGGAAAAATTGTTAAAAATCAGGACTGTCCTGCCAAAAGCAGGACGTCTGGTCACCTTATCATAGTGACCCTATAGGACAGGGTAGACCTGCCCCTGTGAGTTTCCATGACTACAACGGAATGGCTGGTGGTTTCAAACTGCTGACTCTGCAGATCAAAGCCCAGCACCTGACCACTTTGCCACCTGGGCTCGCACCCCTTGAAGATGGCCATGAGTTAAAAACACCCCTTACCCTCACCCTTTGTGTGCCAGAGACTGGCTTACTACCAAGAACTGCCCATCCATGACTTAGATGCCCCCCTTGCTTTTCTATGATCAGCTAGAAACACAGTAAAACCCAACCGGTGCCTTGCTGCTGAGCCGATTCCGGCTGCTGGAAACCCCATAGGTTCCATCGTTGAGGTTTTCCTGGTTTGGGTTTGGCTGGAATTTTTACAGGAGCAAGTTGATAGGCCTTTCCTTCACAGACCTGCTGGGTGAGCTCCCACCATCAGCCATTCAGTTCATTGAACTTATCACAAACTACACCAGCCAGATCCTCCAAGACTCATAAGTGACCGGCTGAACTTTCGTACCTCCCCACTGGCCAACCTGGATAAAATAACTAATTGGATTCGATTTTACTTAAGCTTCTCTCCTTCCCTCAGATGCCTGAATTCAACCGCAGTCAGAACCAGCATCCCACACTCCCTTACTTTCACCTGGCAGCAAGGAGCCAATCACTGGTCCAGTCACACCACCCACTCCTGCACACCTGGTTTCCCGGCAGCTTCCTTCTCTAAAGATCAGAAAAATAAACTCACTGCCATTGAGTTGATGCTGACTCTTAGTGACCCTATAGGACAGGGCAAAATGGCTCCTGTGAGTTTCCCAGACTGTAACATTTTATGGGAATAAGAAAGCCCTGTCTTTTTCCTACAGAGGAGCTGCTGGTTTTGAACTGCTGACCTTATGGATGGCAACACAATGTGTAACCACTATGCCACCAGGGCTCCTTCATCTCTGTAAAAGGCAAGCCCTTTTCTGCTTTGCCCAAGATGCTTGCAGCTCCCAAGATCGGTGCAGTCTCCCTATTCCAACAGCTCTCCTCCTCCTCCCGTCCCCTCCCCGCCTTGCAGGCAAGTCTCTCTCCCCAAGCCTGGACTCTTTGTGTTTGACACCCACAATGACTAATTGCTGGCTCATTTTCCCTTCTTCTCTGGGTTGATATTTTCAAATCCAGTGGGATGCTAGCCAATGATTTTTTTCCCTAATCTACATAAAATAATGAGTACAAAAGTAGACTGCTTGGGGAAGGAGGAAGCTGCATGCAGAGTGCTGTTGGTGAGCTCAGTGTTACCACAAGGGAAACACCACAAGGGGGCGACTTCAACAAAGGGGCATTCCATTTGGAGGCCAGACGTCTGCATTCAAGGTGCAGATTCTAGGCCACGCAGGGCTGCTTTAACGGTTTCCACGCTTGATCTCTGTCACCTGAGAAATTGGCAACAGGCAACCGCTGCTAGAAATACCTCAGACTTGCTGTGCTTTTGATTTGGGATTCACTTGAATTGATTTCAGGTTGTTGTGCTTTTTTTAAAAAACATTTTATTAGGGGCTCATACAACTCTTATCACAATCCATACACACATCAATTGTGTAAAGCGCATTTGTACGTCATTCTCAAAACATTTTCTCTCCACTTAAACCC